CCCCCCCGCTGGATTTACGAGAACCAAACTGAATTGGAAAATGTTATTTGCTTTAACAAAACAATTTACTCTTGTGCAACATCAAATTGTGTCAATCAAGCAAATAAAGGAAGAAAGTCTTATTTATAAAATAGCCTGCTTCTGATTCACTTGATTGCTTCTCAGGTTCCAACAGGGCGACAAAATGAAGCTTTTGGTGCTTGGTGTTTTTCTGTTTTTCTGTAGTTCCCCAGCCTGGACAAAAGAAAAGCACTATTACCTTGGAATTATTGAAACAACTTGGAACTATAACTCCGACCGTGGGGAAAAGAAACTTGTTTCGGTTGACACGTAAGTCACTGTTTTTATTGCTTATGGGCCAAAATTGTAACTTAGCAATTTAAAAAAATAAGCCATTAAGAGGTAATATTTCTTTAATGTGTCCACTGCAAAATGTGGACTTGAAACTGGAGAAATTTTAATCGTTCTCCTCTCCATCTCTGGCTGTTTTACATTGGGAGAACTGCCCTGCTGCCTCTCCAGATCCTGGTGAACTTGACGGCCTCCTATTTATTGACTCCTCTGGTTTATACACCTCCCATCAGCATTCTCTCTTTTTGTCTGTTGATACGAAATTCTTTAAATAATGTCTGCATAAAATGCTATGTTCATGGGGGAGGCGGGAGAGGAGAGAAAGGGGAGTACTGGGGATGGTAATTGACCACATTATGATGTTATATTGTGTGCATGCACAGATAACTAACAACCAATAAAATGCACTAATTGAAAAAGAATGAAAACCCTTTAACAAAAAAAAAAAAACTCTGAATGGAAAAAAAAAAGTTTATAACAACAACACTTACTGATTATCAATAGTAAAGATGCCACATTTCTTAATCCTTCAGAACATCACTTACAGAAATAAAATACAGTTTTAACAAACATGATTCTACCTAATACTGGTTGGGTAATTCTGCACAGTGAATGAATGGGGGTAATCAGAGTCCATATCTGCAAAAAGGGATAAAAACCTACTTCTCAGGACACATGTCCAGCTCTTGGTGGAGAGCTCGGCATGGTGTACACATACAAAAACATATATGATACTCAATGTTTTCCTGTCTCATTCGAAAGCCCCTTTATTTTAAACAATATTCACTATATAGAAAATAAGAAAGTAGAGTTCTCCTTGAAGTGTTTTATATGGAAGTTTATCTCTATTGAGTTCATCTATTTTAATAATGTTAATTAAACATTTACCATCAAATGGAAATTTGTCATTTAAAAAACGAGATTCACTACATTAACAAATGTATTTCAATGGTGATAAAATACAATGAGTCCAATAACCATCAGCTGCTAAGATGTACCTTTACAAAATAGCTAAATAATTATGCTAAATTTTGTTAACTTGACTCTTAATGATGGGTATATTCTATTCTGATTAATTGCATATATGGTTGAAATTGTTCACAGTAAAAAAATAAATGCAAATCTAAGAATAACATCCAATTGCTACTTTATTAATTTAGTACTATGTGATTAGGAAATTTTCTGACCTTAAGATCACAGTAAAAAAAGACAACTAGTACATCTTACAATTATTAGTTAGTTTGTTTTTTAAATCTGTTTTGAGATAGTATTCTTTTCTTAGGAGTATATTTTTACAGCTTAACTAGAAATATTACTTTATATGGATTCAGTATTTTCCTGATTAAAATAATGAAATTACATGTGGTTTTTATTTCCAAGGAAAAGAGGTATCACTCAGTGGTGGAGCACTGGCCTGGTGTGAGCAAAGCCCTGGGTCTGATCCCCAGTACCTAAATAAATAAAGACATAAATTGAATGGACAGAAGTACTGTCCTACTCCATGGTTCACTCACCCCCGCCATGGTTCATGAACAAAAATCAGATCAGTTCATCAGGCATAAACTAAGGGCAAGGTTAGGCTCTGGCCATGCTCCAATAAAGAAGTCTTTAATTCCAAAATTGGGAAACAGGAGAGTGAAGGAAGTTGGTAAGGATTTGAGTGGGTGGGGGTTGGTTCTTTTGTTTTAAAATACTCTCATGGCCTGTCCCTGGGAGGCTATAAAATGCATAAGTCTTGTTTATCCTGTTATTCTTTGATAGGCACACTTAAGGATGCTTAAAGTGATCCATCTTCCAGATAAGTTCAATCCTCTTTTTATCAATGTTCCATAACCTCCTGTGGCTTCAACAACAGCCTAGGGTTGTGTGAACTCTTGAAGAGACTGGCGACACCACTTGACTTTGTTTCTCTCATACATCTGAACAGGGATCAGCACATCAGCATTTTGCCAGTTGCATGTTAAACGTCTTGTGTAGATGAGTGTAGCAGTGACCTCAAGCTGCCTTTATTGTCCCAGAGTCATAGCTCATCCAGCCCGGTCAGTGAAAGATGAGCTGGTATCACCAGACAAAAATGGCTTTCCTTCTCATGGGATGGTCAAAAAGAAGGGGAAACAGGTGAAGCAGAAGGGGAGAGAACGCAAAACATGCGTTGGGTTGAGATCTGGGTTTCAGTGTGACATTGACCTTGAATGTACGTGGAGACAGCAGGAACTCTCTCTGCTATGGTCATGGGTACCTAAAACATTGGAGTCACTGAATAAATTATTTGTGAATATATTACAAATAAATGAATGAAAGGTATATAGGAAGTGGGAGAAATTAGAAGCTATGTTGTAACTTTCCCTTGCACCTTGGAGGGACATATTCATGCTGTAGAATAAACCAGGCAATGGATATGATAGGAAAGGTCAGCATAGGAGTTGGTTATACATAGATTAGTAAAGTTCAAAACAAGTGGATATTTAAAGAGAAAAGTGTATGGATTGTCTTTGTTTTGCTTGATTGGTCAGGAAAATAGAGTTTACCTCTCGGGATGAAAGCCAGTGTTATTTTCTTCTAATAGGAGACAGTTGAAAGGGATTTCCTTGTATTGTAGTCCATGCTCCCATTTACTTGGGTCAGGCCTTCCTTATCTGTCCCTTAAAAAAACCTATAAGTTGTAGTTTCTGATTCTAAATTACTAATATTTAAATAAGAATAAAGACATATAACAATTAGTAAATGTAAGAGTGTGTTCTGCTTCCATAGTAGGTGTTAATTCAATATTTATTAAATTAGTTGACTCTATAATAGTGAAAAATGATAATACTGCTGTCTTCAGGTTATTTTGGTTTTCTGGTGACCTCTAGGAAGCTGGAATTAAGCAAAAGATTCTTTAAGCTCAAGATCAGCCACCACAGAACCTTTTTAAGCTTGACTTTGTAGGCTCCGACTCAGGCTTGGTGACTTTTTCAACATATGGTTTTTACAAACTTTGATATCTAGTTTTTTGGTCATTGTCAGTTTGAAAAGCCAATGATAAAATCTGGAACAAGACAGGGATGCCCTCTATCACCACTTCTATTCAATATAGTTCTCGAAACACTGGCCAGAGCAATTAGACAGACAAAAGAAATTAAAGGCATAAAAATAGGAAAAGAAGAACTTAAATTATCACTATTTGCGGATGACATGATTCTATACCTAG